ACACAGTGGGTCTGTGCTTGCACACCCCTTGTGACGGGCAGCTCACCACTCAGTAAGGTCACATCACCTCTCTCCTGGGCTCCTGCCTGTGGGACGGTCTTCCCGCACTGATGAGAGCCTGCCTTTGTCACTGTCTTCTGTGCCCCTGCTCTGCCGGCTAGGGTCACACTGAACAGGTCTCCCCCTCAACCTGGGTCAGCCCTGCCCACATGCTCCAGACACCACTGCTATTCACACACTCATGGCTAGAGCTTTATTCAATCCCCGATCCCCCCACTGGTATAATTACGCTTCTAAAGCTGGAGAGAACATCTCCTGTATTCTCCGTGTTAGTCAATGTGTTGGAGAGCAGGGAAAAGAAAGGGAAACCCAAACATCTGAACTTAGTAATCATCACCACCATCTTGGCCAGGCTACCCTCCTAATGAGCCGCCATATGTCCAGGCGGTCGGTGCCAAGGGGCTGAGTCTCAGCAGACAGTTGGGGGGTGCACAACCCCTGCACCAGGCAGAATCAGCAGCAGGACCAGGAGGCGCTGCAGCCGTGAACACCTTCCCAGGGGCAGCGTCACCTGGGAACAGCACAGAGGAGCCTGGCGGGGCAGTGTCCCCTTGTGCATTTGGGACACTGAGGCTTGGAGACGCATGACTCAACAGGTCAGACATGGAGTGAGAGTCAGAGCCTGGGGGCACCCCTGGTGTGTCTGGGTCCAGCGAGCATAGACTGACAGCCTGCACATATGAGTGCTGTGTCCCTTTTGGACCTCAGCTGTGCTGTGTGGGTTCCCAACAGGTTGATGACACAGGGTGACAGGATGACACAGGCAGAGGGACCTGTGACTGAGAGCTGAGCATCGGCCTCCAGAATGCCCACGGCCCTGCCAGCCTCCTGGCCCTTGCCTGAGCTGTTCCCTCTGCCTATCACACCCTTCCCCCGCCCCCCACCTGCATAGCTGCTTGTGTCCCCTCAGCCCCAGCCCCTCTCCTAGGAGAAGCCTTCCCTGACCCCAGCTCCCAGCCCCTCTCCCAGGGGAAGCCTTCCCTGACCCCAGCTCCCAGCCCCTCTCTTCCTGGCCCTTATGGAATCAAGGATTTGGCGGCTGATGTGTCTCCCACGAGGACATAAACCCCGTGAAGGCCGAAGCTGCCCCTGTCTGGTTCACAGCATGTCCCCAGGGCCTAGATCAGTGTGTGGCATTCAATACAGCCTCGACAAATGAACGAAGCAATTAACAGGAGACCACAAGAACACTGACTGGATCCACTGGCCTCAATATCCTCACAGAGCCAGTAAGACCCAGGTGCATCAGAAGGTTTTTTGGAGAACCAAGGAACCCATACAGACCCATTGTTCTGGGCCCGGAACTGAGTACATGTTCATACAAGGACACTGACTTCTATGCTGGAGCAGGAAGAGCCCAGACTAGGAGTCCAGACAACGAGTCATTATGTGGCCCTGGGCAAGCCACAGCCCACCTGCGCCTCTACTTGCCCTTCTGTGAAATGGGATAGAGTCCTGGCCCAGCCTTGGGGGTTGCTGAGGTATCAGCTGGAGTAGAGCTAACCCCATCCCGGCCTCCACCCCAGGAGTTCCCAGTAATAGTAATTACAACCAACCTCCAGGGCCTTGCTCTGGGCCAGGCCTTCATCTGGATGGGCCCACACAGACTTCACAACTGCCTATAATGTGGTAGTATCATTTCCTCACTCCACAGAAGGACCAGAGAGGCTAAGGCACTTGCCCGACGTCACACAGCTACATATTCATAGTGTCCCAATTTGAACAGCCCTTCCCTTACCAACCAACCGCTGGGCCATGGTTGTTGCTGTGACACCCAACACCTGCTCCCAGCCCCAGATGGGGCCCAAGGGAAATCAGGGCAGTTGCTGAAAACACCAGCCCATGGCCTGCATGGGGAGCATAGACAAGGTACCACTCAGCCCTCGGCATCGACGGCTGCCCAAACAGTATCCAGAAGATTCTGGGGGAGCCTGGCACAGAATGGGACTCAGAAATATGGCTCCTCTCCTGCCCCCTCTGCTTGCGGAAACTACAGTTCAAACCCCGCTCTGACAGGGAGCCCTCCTGGATCTCACCAAGGCCTCCTGAGGTCCCTTCTCTGGCCTAAGCCTCTCACTCCCGCACTCAGTACTAGGCTCCACATGGCATCAGGTAGTGGGTGTGCACCCAGCCAGCCAGGATGACGGGTAAGGGGGTCAAGGAGAAAGCAGTAAGGCCCCAGGAAAATTCTGGAACTAAAGGGTCTAGAACTATCAGGCTGGAAATCCCAAAAGCCAAAGGCAGTAGCCACTGGCAGCCCAAGCACAGGGTGGCTGGACCTCACTCAGGCCTCGGGAGCACCAGCACTTGGCCTCTAGCTGGCAGAGGGGACAACAGGGCTGGCCCAACACCCTGGCCCTCCAAGCACCCATGAGCCTGAGAGCAGACTGTCAAACGGGTTGCTCAGCCCCCAGCCATAGGGGTGCATACAGCTGCTCTGGGGGAAGGGGGTGGACACTGAGTGACACCTGCCAGTCCCCATCCCCTGCTTATCCTCCAGCCCACATACTGGGTTCTGGACAAGGCGGTGTTGGAAGGCTGGTCTCTGCAGCAAATAACAGCAATGGGGTCTCTGTTCATGAAGAGCTTATTGGTACAGATACCAGGCCCAGCTAAACCCTCCTGACACCTTCACGATCACCCTCTGCAGGACGTGCACTGTCCCTTCCATTATGCAGGGAAGGAAACTGGGGCACAGAGAGGTTAAGTGACTTACCCAGGGTCACACAGCTCATAAAAGCAGCAAATCATTCCTGAGCAAATTCAGGAATTTGAGGCCAAGATTTGAGCCCAAGCAGTTTGGTTCCAAAACCACACTAACTCCTATAGAATAGAATATCTTTTTAAAGGGTTGTGTATGTATGTGGACGTGCAGGGGTAAGGGGGTGTTCAAAATACTGGGCAAGGAGATGCAGTCCAGGCTGCCTGGTCTGGTACCTGAAGGCCTCCCCCTTGGCCCTCCTGACTTCCCTCTTGCACCTCACGCTCCAGTCCTTGCAGCATGTTCAGCCAGACTCCTTCTCCAAATCTGGGCTCCAGTGGCCTGCCAGGCAGATTCAACCGTCTCCTCTCCGCTCCTGTCCTTGGCACTGAGCTTATCATGTCCTCTAGTGCCCCAGTGGTCCTTGATCATCAAGACCCCAGGGAGATCATCAAGACCCCAGACACGATGAGGACCAGAGAGATGGCAGCAGGCACCTCCTGTGGCTCAGGGACAATGGGACAGCCCACATCTTCCTTCTGCCCCTTGAGGAGGCCTTGGCAAGATGGAACCAGGTCCTAAACCCGCCAGCAGCCTCTGGCCACCAGGTGTCACCACAGGGCATCCACCAGGCAGCCCGGGTTCTCCCAGACACACTGTGTTGGTAACATCTCTCCCCCAAAGTCCCTGCACCCATACAGTCCCCGTGTGCCCCCAAATCATCCCTCAGCCTCCCTGCATGTACTGCTCTGATGGTGCAGCTTCAGGCCGTTACCCCTCCATAGCTGTGAATGCCCTTCTCCTCCTTCACAGCTCAGGTCACCTCACCTCCTCCAAGGAGCCTTCTGGAATCACGCCACACTTTCAAGGACATGTGACCTCTCCCCACTGTGTATGGTATCCTCCTCACCCTGCCAGCACTTGGCACCCTGTGGCTATTGCCAGCTCTAAGTCCGCTAAGGGCCACTTGGCCTGTCCACCTACAGAATGGGGACAATAAATCAGTCTGCTCAGGGCTGAGTAAGAATTAGAAACAATGCTTATGGAGACTTTAGCACAGGGACCAGCTTACTGAATTTGCTCAGGAATGATTTGCTGCCCACCACCATCACCATCACAACTACCACCATCATCACCATCACCATCATCATTACCACCTCCACCACCATCTCCACCATCATCATCATCACCATCACCACCACCATCATCATCACAACCATCATCACCATCATCACCACCATCACCATCATCACAACCATCATCACCATCATCACCACCATCACCATCATCACAACCACCATCACCATCATCACCATCATCATCATCATCACCATCACCATCATCACCATCATCACCATCATCATCATCATCACCATCACCACCATCAACATCATCACCATCATCACCATCATCATCATCACCATCACCACCAACATCATCACCATCATCACCATCATCACCATCATCACCATCATCATCATCATCATCATCATCACCATCACCACCATCAACATCATCACTTTCACCATCATGATCATCATCATCACCACTACAATGGCCATCACAACCATCATCCCCATCATCATCCCCATCATCATCACCAGAGCTCTGATGGACACACTGACCATCACAAAGAAGAGTCATGACTCTTTCTCACCATGATCCCCACTGAGCCAGGGATGAGGCCTGATTATTCTGTGCACCCAACAGAGAGTAAGAGCTTGATATGTACTCACGATTGAAACAACCGCCATCCCCGACACAGTAAACCAGGTCTTCGGCCTTCCATGAAAATTACAACTGCCTTTCCTCAGCCTGGCTGATCACTCGTCATCCCTCACCCACACATCTCTGGTGTGTGTCAGGGGCATGGGCAATGGGGAGATTCTTAGCATACACAGTAACGGTTGAAAGCAGGGGTTCTGGAACCAGAGTGCCTGGGTTTAATCCCAGCTTTGCCCCTTCCTAGCTGCATGACATTTGGCAAGATCCTCAAGCTCTCTGTGCCTCAGTTTGCTCACCTGGAAACTGGGGATAATAACAGTAGCCGTCTGTATGTGAGACGAACAGCACAGAGGACACAGCTGATAGAACTACTTGCCAGTTAGATATGGGGGCCTGCCGGGGGCCACACAGGGGTGCAGGAAGAGCTGAGATCTGGAGCTCCCCAGTGCTTCTCCCAGCCCCACCTCCCCCAGCGCCCAGCCTGAGGTCAGGAAGGCACCCAGGGCGCACTCACCACGGCGAGCCGTAGATCCGGAAGCCCCGCACAGTGACCTCCGAGTCCTGCAGGTAGATACAGTTGGTCAGCAGGGACTGCACGTTCTCATAGTTCTCCGGCTTCAGCTTCGACACAGACGGGAAGTAGTAAAAGTCTTGCTTGATGAGGTCAGCCATGAACTCCTGGTCGAAGGTCAGCTCATGGTTGCCGGCAATCACGATCTTGTACTCGTAGGGCAGGCTACCTGCAGGGGTGGACAGAGACACGCAGGACACTGCTGTTGGCCTGCTGAGAGCCACCCCCCAGCGGGGGGAGGGCGGTGGGCGACAGGCACCGGGATCCCCGGCGGAGCAGCCCCCACTGCTCGCTCCCCCATCCATGCCCTCAGATCAGAGGCACGGCAGGAGGCCCATCCTCCTCCCTGCAGCCTGCCTGCTCCGGTGGCAGCTAGGTGACAGGCCACCAGACCCAGGCCAGCAGGAGGGCCCCTGGCCTCATCCTCAGGACTTACCCGCCTCGGGTTCCTCTGTCTGAGCCACTTTTCCCCTGAAAGGAGACCCCACCCCAGACCTCCAGGCCTGGCCCCCCAGCCTCACTGTCCCAGGCCACTCACCCCACGGGGGCCTGACTCGGGAGCCTCCACGCTCCAGCAGGAAGCACAAGTTCCTTGCAGAGCCCGTGTGAAACCTCTGGAGACCCCATGCTTTGGGGAAGGGCCTACCCTGACTGTCCAAGCCAAATGCAATCCAGACAAAGCTGTCTATGCAGAACATATGCTGAACCAGTAACAGGTCCTTCCAGCTTGGCTCTGTGCAGAGCCCCGGGCTGTTCTTCCACAGCTTCCTTCCTTCCCTTTCTTCCTCTGGGGCCCCACCTTGCAGATGCCCTGAGCGGGTGTGGGTGCTGTCTCCTGCCTGACACGGCTGTGGGCCGCCCCCCCACTACCACAGCCCCTCGGACTCAGTAAACCACCACCCCCACCCTTGGCCCCCACTGCCCCCCAGAAAAGAGCCTGACCCCAGACTCGGGTCTCTGCCTCCCCATCGCCCACCTGCCTCAGTTGCCGGGCTCCCTGGGCCTAGAGAAAAAGTTATGACAGTACCTGTTGGCCCCGATTTGGATGAAAATGTAATGTTGAAGCTGAGCCAACCCGGAGGCCCAAGTCCTTCTCCTGGCCCCTCCAGCCTTCTGTCTGGGGGGGGGCCCTGGGTGACATGTTGGGGAACCCTCCCAAGGGGCCTCAACCTCCCGGCTCCTGGCAAACGGAGAAGGAAGAGCAACAGGCCGCCTGGCTGCTGGAGATCCACCCTTCATAACGCTTATTCTCTGACCCCGGGTGGCCATGACCCCCACAAGAGTACACACAGCCGCAGTGCTCAGTTTGGGAGCCCGCTGGCTTCAGTTCCAATCCCAGCTCTGTCACCTCTCAAATGAGCAAGTCACTCAACCTCTCTGAGCCTCAGTTTCCCCTGACCACGGAGGGTATGCCTGGGGAATGCCCCTTCCTGGGAGCTAAGGACCTCCCTGCCCCCGCCCCCTCCCAGGAAGAGCAGGGCCTTCGTGAAACTCTGTATCCTCTGCCCTGTGAGTGTTCTGTCAGGAACCCAATTCCAGAAATGCCCCAACTTCTAAGGACCGTTTGCCTCACTGAGAACTGACGTCCACAATATCGGATCGGGTGGGACAGACGTGTGATCAGACTCGGCTCCTGATGGGTGATCTAGGAAGAAGTGTGCTTTTCCCAGCCCCGTGTGAGCTCTGGGAAGGGGCAGGGCGAGCCTGGTGGCAAACAATTAATCATGAGAATGATAAACAATAATACAACAATGTTTCGGGCACTGTAACTACAAGTATTGTATTCTAATGGCAAGGGAACAGAAGAGTCCAGAACGTAGTTAGAATCTTCTTTCTTGGGGGCGCCTGGGTGGCTCAGTTGGTTAAGCGACTGCCTTCGGCTCAGGTCGTGATCCTGGAGTCCCAGGATCAAGCCCCACATCGGGCTCCCTGCTCAGCAGGGAGTCTGCTTCTCGCTCTGACCCTCTTCCCTCTCGTGCTCTCTGTCTCTCATTCTCTCTCTCTCTCAAATAAATAAAATCTTAAAAAATTAAAAAAAAAAAAAAGAATCTTCTTTCTTCACACCCCACCCCCACCCCCAAGACCAGGACCTACACATCCTGTCTGGTCTCGAGCTCTGTGGCCATGGCAAGCGGCTGCCTGAGGGCCACCTGAGTCCCAGCCCGGCCACGGAGGGGGGAAGGGAGCAAGACAGAAGTTCGCCCAAAAACTGGCAGAAAACCATAATCTTGCTCATCGCTGCCTCTCCCGCCGCCCCAGAGTCCTTCACAAGTTTGAGAAAAGAGGGTTTTCTCCTCCTTGGCGTTTATCAACTCTGGGAGCCCCGACACAATGACAGGCTCTATGGCCTGGGTCCCAGACCCAGCTCTGCCACTCACCAGCTGTGTGCCTTGGTCTCCCCCGCCTAGAAAGCAGGAAGAAGAACACCCACCCCTCCAAACCGCTCTGGGGTTTCAGAAGACACTGAACAGAGACAAGCAGCACTTGGTATTCACAGTGTCAGCTTCCCCGGGCCCCCGTTTGCAGGCCAGACCTGCCCAGAGGCACATTTCATTTGGCATAACTTTTCTATTTGAATCTGGTTGCCAACATAAAAAATGCAAAAAAGTCCCAATAAAATGCCATTCTTTGTTTTCTAAAAATCGATCAATCAATTTTAAAATTTCATGCTCCTGGCTCAGTCAAGTGCTGAGTATCTGTGCCTCCCTTAGACCGGAAGCCAGTGTCCATCTGCCCCAGTCCCCACCTGTCCCTACTACACACACCCAGCCCACGTCACTCATTTTGAGGAACTGCCCACTCCTGGCAGGCCCCTGCCCCTCGGTGCTGCCAGTCAGGTGGAGGGGGGGAGCTCTCCAGGCCTTCTGCCTCCCCATCATGCCCACCCTCCTACTTCCATCACAGCCCACCCTTCTGGGCCCGGCTGAGGGGTGCAGAGTAACTGTTTGCTTCCCAAGCCGAGCCAGAGAGCTGCAGGGGCACGGGACCAGATATGTTTGCTTCGCTCGTCCCATCCCCAGCAGGTCCCAGCAGAAATCTGGCAAATGAAGCCGCCGAAAGCATCACAGGGCGACATGGAGCAGAGAACCCCTCAGCGGCCCTGCTCCGGCTGCCCGCGGGGAGGGAGGAGGTTTGCGGGGGCCTGAGCATCTGGGGGAGGGTCGTGCAGGACACCCCAGAGAAGACCACCATCTCCTGGACCCCATCGTGGGGCCAGCCACCCTGGGTAAAGGCTGACCCCTCCAATCCCCAAGGAACTTTCCAAGATACGCTCTGTAGCTGGGGAAAATGAGGCTCTCTGGTCAGGAACCTGTCCAGGTCCCACAGCAGTGAGCAGGGGAGGGGCCACTGGACATGGGTCCAGCTGATCCCACATCTCTGGGTCAGCGACTCCGACTCCTTCAAGGCCACCAGGCCACGGAGTCAGCCGGGGACTCTCGCTGAGCCCCTTCCCGCACGGCAATCGGAGGATGAGGGGTGGCCTCTGCCCACAGCCTTCCAGCTCTGAATCTATGTTTCGACTTCACGTCTCCCATCCATCCCACTCTGAGCACCGCCCCGGCTGGGGGAGCCCTGCTAATGTATTTATGTCCTGTCTCTGACTGGGGGTGTTACTTAAACTAATTAGCAAACGACTCCAACTATACAGTTTCATTTATTTCTGTAGCTCGGGACTACCGCGGACTGGGGAGTGAACACGGAGCTGTCAGCTCTCCCCTGTTCCTCCCCCCTCCCCGGAGGAGGGAACTGAGAGGCTTCTTCCCTCCCAGGGAAGAATGGATGGGGGTCAAGGCTCCTGTACACAGAGCCAGGTGGGGACAGGAGCCGCAACTTGCTGCCTGATACCCTCAAATACTGTCTGGGCTCTCCCTGCAGAGTGGGTGCCACGGCTCGGAGGCAGGGGGCACGTCCACTGGCAAACACATCAATGGTCCAGCACCGCGCCCCTCTGAGCTGGAGGTCTAGCCACAGACATATCTGTCTGGATGGTCACTTGGACCTGGCAACTCTCCAGCTGTGTATAACCGTCACAGATACCGAAGTATAACTCTCCCCATTTTCCATCTGGGAAAAGCAAGGCTCAGAGAGGTTGCCTAAGTTTACACAAGTCACTAATAAAGTGACTGATAACTGCAGACGGCACTGGACACTTGACAGAACTTGGGGCTTGGCCTCATCAAACTCATCCAGAACTGGCACCCCAAACCTTCATGCCCACTACCTCCCAGTGAGTGTGTGGGTGGGCGGAGGAATGGAGGATGGAGGGACAGAGATGGACAGATTATGGATGAACAGATGGATGGGGAGAGATGGATGAATACATTTATCAATCAATCCATCCATCCTGAGATAACTCTGGCTGTCTTCTTTATACCAACCGACCTCCGGCTCCTGGGTCCCCTCAACTTTCCTCCAAACTTTTTCTCCAACTACCCCAGCAGGTCATGTTTTCAGACCCATGTCCCTCCCCCACAACCCTGAATGTCCATCTCTGAATCTTCTCCAGTTGGACCTGCTCTCTCCCAGGTGGGAGTGGGGGAGCCAGAACTAAAGCTCTGGAATGGCCTGACCATCGTGGAGTGGTGTAGAGAAGTCCCCTCCTCTGTTCTAGGACTGCTACCTCTGTTGTTACCGCCTAAGGCTGCCTTAGCCTCCAGGTGCTCCCATGACCCTGCAGCTCTTACCAACCTGACTGTGGATAAAATGCCCACTGACCCGTCAGCACAGGCTTTCTTGCTTGGCTTCTGCCTCCCCTGCCTCTATCTAGGCCGTGAAGGTGGGGAGTGTTTGGGGACCTCAGTGACTGATTAACTGGAAGGGGCTTTATGGGTAAAACAGATGAGATGAACATAAACTCTTCAGCACACAGAGGGAATTAATGCTGTTCCCTCTGTCCTTCCCATCAGCAGGGAAGAGGGCTGGCCTGCAGGGGAGGGAGCACCTGCCTGACAAAGTGCCAGAAGGGCCTGAACCCCAGGAGAGGGAGTGTTCTGCAGGCGGGTGAAGCTAAGAGAGGGGACAGAAGGTCCAAATGCTTTTTCTTACCCACCTCCCCTCCTCGGCCCCTCAGAAGCAAAGAATTCAGTCAGCCTGTCCCCAAAGCCCATCAAGCCAGAAACTTGCTTTCTTCCCGGAGGCTGGGCCCCGTTGTAATACCATCGCCACCCT